ATCCTGGACCAGTCCAATTGCTGATGCCCATAAGGTATATTATTCCCTTAGTCACAACTCAGGAGCAGGGTTCATGATTACAACCCAGAAATTCGCAGACAGCATAGCAAATTGCAAACCATGAAATCTGACATCTGTTCACCCCTTTATACGATTCAAGTTAAACCAAAGAAGTCCAATCTCCCAGAATCTAGCTAGTAGTTTGAACTAGGGGCCATAGACCATACTTTCTTACAAGCCCAAATTTGTTCTGACCTTTGGCGTATATAAATACGTTATCTCCTATGTTCTAAACATCTGTAGGGACAAATGGACCTCTGTTACAAGACCTATCATGTTCCAGGGTTAGTTATACAGCTCTCATAATACATGATAGTATTACAATGTTGTTATGGAATACACCACATCCGATCCCTGTTTCTCCGCTACACCAAACTATGGGCTCTGTCCTACTTTTCACTGGCATGACTTTTAGAAGTTAACTTTGACAACTGACCTTTTCCTCTATTACTCACCCTCCCCTTTTCACTAGTCAACTGATACTTAGTTCTAAGTACCATTTACATTGCCTGTAGCACATGGCCTACTTTCTCCCCCGAGGGGTCTAAATACCCCTAGTTTTCCGTAGCCTCCTCCAGTAGTCTAATTTACAGTTATAACTGGACTCAAACAATTACAGTACTGCCAAACCATAGGCAGGGCCCTGTGTATCAGGCAGCATAAAGACAGTCCCTGGCGAAGGCCTGTTATCATAGGTATCCTCAGCCTCCTGGGTTCTCTGAACCTTGTCATGTGCGCCATACTGTGATGTCACAACTACATTATCGGACGACTCAGCCAACTTCCTGGTAATCCGCCTACATGAGCCTCATTATGCCTGTACTAACAGACCTGTCCAGGTGGTCAAAATTTTCTTTCTTATAGGAACAGGTTGCCATGTCCATTTCCCACAGTCTGTTGATTCCCCCCGATGTATTGCAGACACAGCTGCCACACGGGATCAAATGCCATTTCAGGTCACTGACTTGTAGCGCCACTCGCTCTTTAGTATACGTTGGGCTCTTGGTAAGTATACCACATAGCCACGGTTTGACAAGGGTCTCTATGGAGTAAGTATCTGTCATATGCTACTCAGACAACACATCAGGTTGTGAAGTTCATCAGGGTTGGGTCTCCCTATTCAGTCACACGGTGACTCTCGAAGTTCAATGGCTTGCAACACAGCAACTCTATCTTGGTTGCACACCTATTCAGGCTACCTTTCATGGTAGCTGTTGATTTGGCTCGATCCCACTTACTGACATGATATTAAGCACATCATACGCTACCAAACGACCTACAGTACTCCAAAACAATTAGAGTCACACTACATTAGGTCAAATTACAGCGTTGTTCCATTGGTGGCATACCTGACTCTCTGCCAATATTTTCTGTTCAAAGTACAGAGCTCTGGCCACCACCAACATGAGGCACTTTTGACCTATCATATTGTCATCACGTATTCTATCATAACTTGGTAGTGTTCATATCCTTTTTGCCAACTCATGCTTAAATTAGCTCATATATATCACAACGTATCACTTACCACCTACAAGACAGAACCTCATGCCATCAGCATGGGTTCAAGTCTACATAGTAGACCAACTATCCAATACTCCCAGGACTATATGCCTGTCTCAAGATCACGCGAAATACATTCACTACTTTAAATTGCATTGCATACGTCAAGACTTTTCCGTAACTCGTACACCACTCTTCAGCATTTTCTAAGTCAATCTCATAGTAGGGAATTACTTTCCAGCCTTTAGTAATAACCCAGTACACATAACTGAACACTGGGATATAAGAATCCGCTATAACAGCTCTCAAAAAGAGAGAGATTGGTGGAAGACGTTTAAGGTATTTAGTTATGTATCATCAACACGTATTCATGTGTTTATCCATTCAACTTTTTGCCCTCTTTATTTACAGGCCTGCCCGGACGTCGGTCCCGGCACACCTCAACCGACTTGTACCTAATCCTAATTATTCCAACATCACTATTACTCGGCTTATTGTCCCCAACTACAAATATAAAGGCTTAGCCTGTAATTGTGGGAGGGGTTACCCGGCTATAAAAACACTGGCCACCCCTCTCACTTGACTGTTAATGCTGAGTTCATCCCACCCACAACTCCACTTATACAAACCATTCATTTGGTGGGCCCTCTTTATTTACAGGTCTGCCCGAATGTCGGTCCCGGCACACATAATCCTAATTATTGTCCCCGACTACAATGTGTCTTTAAATATAATAAATTGATCGGTGTAAATAAGATGCATTGTTCTTGTGATAAATTACAATTTAGTTACATAAATTTTTATTAATAAGTCACCTAAATTTTCTCAGAACAGCCCAATCCCTGGCCACACTTGCATGTCCTGCACGGTTAATAACCCATTAGAGCCTGCAAGAGACTCCTGTGTGTGATTAAAGTTCAAATAATAGAACAAGATACAATAACGGCTAAAACAAACACAATGTCCTATATTGAAAATAGAACCATTTTTCCATGGAGTCACAGGCAGGGGATGTATGGCTAGGACTGCATAAACAAATCAAAAGTGATTTAATCCCTAATTAGCAGATAATTAAGCAGCAAGACTGCATCGGCATGATCTATACACTTAAACAGCTTCATTATGCTAAAGTTGAATATCCATTTAAAATACATATATGTATTTTTTGATATGTTGGTTTTTGTTCATAAAAAGAGATAGATAGACAGACAGATAGATAGAGTTTTGCACAAATATTAGAATTTTCTGTAATCTGAATTTTAGCTAACATGCTAGGTTAACTAAGGTCAATGAGGTTCATTTATTTCTTGTGTTCTTATAAATATACATGAACATGAAAAAAAAAGAAAGAGGGAGAGGTGTAAGTAATAATGAAGTTCTTTCAAGTAGGTTTAATTAAAAGGAAAAGGTCTCTGTATAATTTCATAAATACGTTTAAATAAAAAAAGCAATAACTGGCAGAAAAATCTAAACTTTCCGACAACAGGGTTCCAAAACACATATCCTACTTTATGTATAAACATGCAAAAGAAAACAATTTTAGATTGATGAGAAACATGAATAAAACACTAATTTGAGGGTGACTCACATGCATATGTAAAGCTAATCGCTAAATCTTAAATTAAACTAATTAGTTTAATTATCAGTTCTGTAGTAGTGATTTACACAAATCATTAGTTGAAAAATGTCTTTATAACCGTGAACTGCATTTAAATACCTGTATGTAAAGTCTCTTTAATATATTAATATATATATTTTTAAATTTTTTTTATATTTTTTATTTTTTTGGGTTCAGACCTGAGGAAGAGAGGAAAACTCTCAAAAGCGTGTCTTTGAAAAATTATATCATTTTTATTGGACCAACAATAATATATATATATATATATACACACATACATACATACACACACACACACACACACACACACACACACACCACACCACACAAAAGTAACAGCACTCCAAGGGTTTCCAACAAGATAAGTTTACTTGTAAAAGGTCAAATAAAGTCAACATTTTAGTTCCACATGTTAACCTTCCTCAGGACAGACACCTACTACTTTACTTTATTTTTTTGATATACATGTTAGTGCTATCGAGCACCGGGTCACAAAGACTGTAAGTAGGAGTGCAAGGTTACCTTTTTTTGTGTGTGTATATATATATATATATTAATTCCAGCACTCTATATGGAATGTATACAGACAGAATCAACCAACACTAACACAAAAATAGCAAAAATGTGGCAGTATTCTTAGGACTACCAATCATGTAACGTTTAATCTGTATATGCCCTCAATCAACGTTTCTACACTACAAGGTCATTATTAATGGCTTGATAATGACCTTGTAGGATCAAAACAGAGATTGTTGACAATTTTTGAATAAAAAATACACACTTGGAAGTCCTAAGAGTGTTGCCACTGTATTGCTATTACAACAGGGAAATTTATGATATCACATTCTAAATACAAAGACAATAACATGTAGTTGGTCCCCCCTTTGCAACTATAACCACTTTCACACTTATTGGAATTTTGCCCATTCATCAAGTAGAGCATTTGTGAAGTCAGGAACTAATGTTGAACAAGAAGGCCTGTAATCTTTGTTCCCGTTCATCCTAAAGATGTTCAATAAGGTTGATATCAAGGTTTTGTGGGGAGCCAGTCAAGTTCTTCCACACACAGTCATGCTGGAACAAAAAAGGGCCTTCCCAACAAGACTGTTCCCACAAAGTTGAAAGCATAGCACTGTCCAAACTGTCTTGGTATAGAATTAAGTTGCGTAGCCCCACACCTAAACACGGATTTCACAAACCATCCTTTTTGCAATAGTGGCATCCTATGACAAGACCACACTTGAATTCACTGAGCTCTTCAGAACAACCCATTTAGTTGTTTTTTTTACAAATGTTTGTAAATGCAGACTGCTGTAATAAACTCAGCAATATAGCATTTTCCCTTCAGTATGCTTCCTCACTTTATAGATAGATAGATAAAACCATATATGCATATAAAGTAACACTTTTTTGTCAACAGACAATATACAATCCATTGAGCATTCATAATGATTAAGCTAACTTTAACACCTTAACGCAGTTATGGATTTTTTTGCTGTCCCGCATTTATTGGGCTTTAAAGTCGTTGCGGCGGTATAGAATGCCGTAATGGCTTTCAGCCCTGGAGCGCGCAGGATACTTACCTTCCCAGCACTCTGCTTCGGGAGGACTGCCTGGCAGCCCTCCCATGGGAAATCATGGAGCAATCACATAGCAGGCATAGCTGCTTGTGGATCTGCCTACAGGGGTACTGCCTGGACTGTCAGGCAGTCCCCCTACTGGTGGGAAAAGTTTATTTATTTTTTTTTAAATGTTAAAACACATTAAAATAATTAAATATATAGCGTTCATATTTTTTATTTTTGCATTTTACACACAAAAACAAATAGTCACAAACACTGGCCAAAGTTAGTGTTCATATTTGTTTTTGTGTGCAAAATGCAAAAAAATAAATATGAACGCTAACTTTGGCCAGTGTTTGTGACTAAGTGGCTACTAAAAAAGACTGGATATACCCCACATTGAATACCCTGGGTTCACTATTTTTGCAAATGGTATGCCATCATGTGGGTAATTCTCATTCCTGGGATACGATACGGTCCCAAAGGCAACATTACTAATCTGGCAAATTTCAATGTGTTTAACCCCTTAAGGACACATGACATGTGTGACATGTCATGATTCCCTTTTATTCCAGAAGTTTGGTCCTTAAGGGGTTACACCAAAAAATGGACCGTGCTATATTTGACCCTGTAACTTTCCAAAACACCATAAAATATACTGTACTGTTGCACTGGTGAGACATCGCTGAATACAAATATGTGTATTTTATTGCAGTAAAACCTAACAGTATTATGACATTTACAGTTAAAATGCCATGTAAAACAAATTATTTTTAATTTCTTACACTTTTTTAGATTACATAATAATTAGAACACATAATAAATAGTTATATATATGAATAGTTGACGTGAAATTAAAGCCCTGTTTCTCCTGAACAAAATGATATATAATAAGTGTGGGTGCACCAAATATGAGAGGTGAATTACAGATGAACAGACATATGGCGCAAATTCCAGGTTTTGCTTAAGTTTTGTTTTGATCAGAATGTGTACAATTGACTCTGTCCTTAAGGGGTTAAAAGAAGACCAAATAAAAAAAGTAATTAGATCAGTACAAAGCTGGCAGTAACAGTGCCTAAGAGACAGAGTATTCATTAATTTGCAATTTTCAGGGATGTCACTATGTCACTGGTGAAATAGGGGCAGGTCATACCTCTGGCACCTAAAAAAGCAGCGGAGGTCTGACACATCATTTGGCCTAGAAGTAATCATATATCAGACAGGGCATGTATTATTAAAACTGCTATCACTTAGCTAATGAAATGGGGTAAGGAATGGAGCTGTTTGAGAATCTACCATTTAATTTTATTAAAATTCACACCACCACATATAAAGTATAGTGGGGCCTGTACTATACTCTAGGCTCTTCTTGGTTAGCAGAAATCCAGGAAATGTCTGAGAGTAAGAGGTGAGATAGTTTTACATGTGTTCTTTAATCTCTTGTCATACGGGAGTTTATGGAGTTTATGCTCTCGCTGCTCTAACTTTTGTACAACTGTGATATAAATTTGCAAGTGAGTAGCTTCATTCTTGAAAGATAAATGTTTGCAAAAAAAAAAAAAATTTCCTTTATGTTAATAATGCCATATTCAGTATAGATTTCCAAAGATAGCTGACAGATGATCTGCATATCCCTCAATTACATATTTCCTAAGCATAACATCCAACAAAACCTGACTAAAGAAAACAAACAAATAAATAAATAAAAGGGTTTTCTTCGCAACGCACAGCCACTGCTGACATCAGCAAAAACCACACAGGATCATCCTCATAACCTCAAGCAGAACCACCACTGCTGGGTTATTTGTAGTGTTTGCAGAGACCCAAAAAGTTATATATCTGCTTATACTGTATTGACTGGTGGAGAGAGGTAAGGTAACTAAATAGTTAACTGAACCTGTCTTATTGGGGCTGTCATCTCACCTTCAGCTCTGAAAGGTTCAGCTGCAGGAGCTACCTCACAAGTGTCCAATCTTAGAATAGATGAGACAACAGGATTCTCCAGGATTAATCATCATTTTTAGATGCCATAGGCATCTGTTGTGGATCAAGCAAGACAATGCAGGTTCCTAACAGACACTGTGAGTGAAGGTGATAGAAAATCTTAATATGCGCGCTGTTAAAGCTCCACCTTTTGCAAGGTTGGTAGAGCACCACATTTTTTATGAAATAATCTTGCACATAAGATTTATATTGTTTTATAAGAACATCTGGTACTATAAGTTATCATCATGGGTGGCCTTAATCTTCCTGATGTGAATTGGAAAACCAAAATAGCTGCTTGTGCCAGGAGCACACATATTCTAAACTCCCTACTGGGATTGGCTCTAAAACAAGTCGTTGAGGACCCAACTCGTAAAGAGGCCATACTAGATTTAGTGTTAACCAATGGAGATTTGGTATCAGATATTACTGTAAGAGAAAGTTTAGGATCCAGTGATTATCAGTCAGTGCGGTTTAATATAAGAACAGTGACTGAGTCACAACACACAGAAACAAAGGTTTTAGACTTTAGAAAAAAAATACTTTTCTAAAATTAGAATATGTATAAAGGGATCATTATCAGACTGGAGCAATTTAAATGGAGTCCAAGAGAAATGGGATTATTTAAAAGTTGCACTGCTGAAGACAACAGAAAATTCCATTAGGCTTGTCAGTAAAAACAAAAGATTCAAGAAACCACTGTAGTACTCTGCAGATGTGGCCAAAATAGTAAAAAACTCAAATTTAGCATTTAGTAATTATAAAAACACCCAGAGTGAGGAAGATAGAATGATCTATAAGATTAGGCAGAAAGAGGCTAAGCAAGTTAAAAGAGCTTCCAAATCATACACAGAAGAGAAAATAGCACGGTCAGTAAAAAAAAGGGGACAAAACATTTTTTAGATATATAAATGAGAAAAGGAAAGTAAACCAGGATTAGTTTGATTAAAAACAAAAGGAAGGAAGGTATGTAGAAGAGGATAAAGGTCTAGCTGACTGCCTCAATTAATATTTTTGTTCAGTATTTACAGATGAAAATGAAGGAAAGGGGCCTCAGTTAGGAAAAAGGACAAATGAGTCATTTGTTACATGTGAGTTTACAGAGGAAGAGGTTCTATTTCAACTGTCAAAAGTAAAGACAAATAAGGCAATGGGACCTGATGGAATCCACCCAAAGTTATTAAAAGAGCATAGTGGTGTACTCGCAAAACCATTAACAGATTTATTTAACCAATCATTGTTAACAGGAGTAGTCCCAGAAGATTGCAAGTTAGTGAATGTTGTGCCCATTCACAAGAAAGATAGCAGGGAGGAGTCGGGCAACTATAAGCCAGTATTACTTTTCAGTAGTGTTGAAAGTAATGGAAACCATGTTAGGATAGGATTGCTGAACTTCTAAAATCACATGGATTTCAAGATTAGAGACAACATGGGTTTACTTCAGGGAGATCATGCCAAACTAATCTTATTGATATTTTTGATTGTGTAACTAAAATAATAGATCAGGGTGGTGAAGTAGACATTGCTTACCTAGATTTCAGTAAGGCCTATCAATAAACTGCAATCTCTGGATTCCAATTTTGTTGAATGGGTAAGGCAGTTGCTGTGTGACAGACAATAGAGGGTTGGAGTCAATGGAGTATATTTGAAGCATGGGCTTGTCACCAGTGGGGTACCTCAGGGATCTTTACTTGGACCCATTCTCTTTAATATTTTTATTAGTGATATTACAGAAGGTCTTGATGGTAAGGTATGTCGTTTTGCTGATGATACCAAGATATGTTCTAGGAGTGATAAGCCAAATGGAAAATGATTTAGGTAAACTAGAAAAATGGTCAGAGTTGTGGTAACTGACATTTAATGTGGATAAGTGCAAGATAATGCATCTTGGATGTAAAAACCCAAGGTCAGAGTACAGAATATTTGATAAATTCCTAACCTCAACATCTGAGGAAAGGGATTTAGGGGTGATTATTTCTGATGACCTTAAGATAGGCAGACAATTTAATAGAGCAGCAGGAAATGCTAGCAGAATGCTTGGTTGTATAGGGAGAGGTATTAGCAGTAGAAAGAGGGAAGTGCTCACGCCATTGTACAGAACACTGGTGAGACCTCACTTTGAGTATTGTACGCAGTACTGGAGACCGTATCTCCAGAAGGATATTGATACTTTAGAGAGAGTTCAGAGAAAGGCTACTAAACTGGTTCATGGATTGCAGGATAAAACTTACCAGGAAAGGTTAAAGGATCTTAACATGTATAGCTTGGAGGAAAGACGAGACAGGGAGGATTTGATAGAAATATTTAAATACATAAAGGAAATCAATACAGTAAAGGAGGAGACTATATTTAAAAGAAGAAAAAACTACCACAACAAGAGGACATAGTCTTAAATTAGAGGGGCAAAGGTTTAAAAATAATATCAGGAAGTATTAGTTTACTGAGAGGATAGTGGATGCATAGAATAGCCTTCCAGCTGAAGTGGTAGAGGTTAACACAGTAAAGGTGTTTAAGCATGCATGGGACAGGCATAAGGCTATCCTAATAATAAGATAAGGCCAGGGACTAATGAAAATATTTAGAAAAGTGGGCAGACTAGATGGGCTGAATGGTTCTTATCTGCCGTCACATTCTATGTTTCTATAAGAAGTTCAATAAAATTCCAGTTTAGTTTTGTTAATAATTTACAAAGGTTCTATTTATTCTAGATATTAATGAACTATCCTTTCTGCCAATTCTCACAGTGCAATGGTTTTGCTACCCTATGCAACTGTATGCAGGGCCGCCATCAGGGGGTGACAACCATAACGGCCGCCCGGGCCCCAGTGTAGCGGCGGAACTGTGCACCGACGCCCACATGCTGATGAGGCCCATCGGGTAGCCCACGCACATAGGAGCCCGGTCAGCGCTGTGGCCGTTATATAGCACGAAAAAATGCCGCCGCAGCGCAAGTGCTGCTGGGAGGAAGTGGTCACTTCCTCCCAGCTCACTCCGCGCGGGAGGAGCGTGCGCCCGGCAATGAAGAGGGAGAGCCAGCCGACTCCCAGTCCCATCAGCCCGCCGACTCCGAGTCCCATTGTCTCCTGCAAAGACAAGGTAAGAAACAGGAGGGTGGTTGGAAAATGAGCTGTGTGTGTGTGTGTGCATATGTCTGTCTGTATGTATGCCTGTATGTCTATGTCTGTGTGTATGTATTTATGTCATTATGTATGTATGGATGTCAGTGTCTGTATGTCTGTATGTATGGATGTATGTCTGTATGTATGTCTATGTCTGTGTGTATGTAATTATGTATGTATGGATGTCTGTCTGTATGCATGTCATTATGTGTGTATGAATGTCAGTGTATGTATGTCTGCATGTCATTATGAATGTGTGTATTAAAA